TAGGTCCACCCAATCCGCCATCTTGTTTGTTCTCTTCTCTTGCATTTTTAATGTGGCTTTCCCCTATTCTGCAAGACATACATTTGCTTCTGAGAGGATTATGATTTTTACAGAAGAAAACAAAAAGCATCAAAGCTCAGCTTTTGGTATCTAAAATAGAAGTTTTGAATCCACTGCAAGTCTTGGAAACCAGACTCGGTCAGAAATCATTGCTTCTCTAAATTCTAAACACTTTCTCAAGAGGTAAGCCTGGTAGCCTCACACAATGCAAAGGCAGGGCCTGTGACAGGAAGATAGTCCTATACATACTGAGGGAGAGAGGCCAGACAAGAGCTCTCTCCCTTTCCCTTCCCTGGAAGGAAAGTCCTGGTCCCACACAACTGTCCAGCCAGGATTCTGGCACACAAACTTCTGAGTCCAAGGTCTCCCACCCCAGGCACAGCCTGAGGGCCACTCAGAGAGGCTTGGAGGGCAGCAACATTTAGGAAGCTGGCTGCAGTGGTCTTGTGTCCCTGAGGGATGTGCAGGCGCTGAGGCCTGGGGTTGGGAAAAAGAGTTGTCAAGGTGGGATTTTTGAAACCAGAGACTATGGTAGCCTCTGAAGTGAGAGTGTCTAACTGCTAGAGGAGAAGAAGAGATTCCACAGAGGACCTTTGAGCTGGTTCTAAAAGATGCACAGGAATGTTACTTGCGGAGAAGGCCTCTCATGATTCTGCATGGGACACTGAGATGTTATACCAGAGCAGGGAGGTGGCACTGGAGAAGGAACAGGTATCAGGGCCCAGGGGCCAAGCTAAGAGTCCAGGCATGGTTCCAAGGAAGACAGGAAGCTGGGTGTGTGGCAGAAGAGAGATGCAAGCAGACTCTGACTTCTAAAGTTTTGAGTCTGGCAGCAGTGTTGCATCTTCATCTGTATGCCCTGACCAGATGATACATGCAGAGCAATGACCAAACCAATTGTCTGTGAGTTGATTCTAACTCATGGTACCCCACGTGTGCAGAGTTAGAGCTGTTCCAGGATTTTCAGTGGCTGTGACTGTTTGGAAGCAAATCACCAGGACTTTCTTCTGAGCTGCCTCTGAGTGGATTTGAACTACCAAACTTTTGGTTAGTAGTTCAGTGCCTAAGCATTTGTGTCACCCAGGAACTCCTTAAACCTACCAAACCCACTGTGGTAGAACCAATTATGACTCATAGCGAGTCTATATAGGATTTCGAAGACTAAGGCTTTATGGGAGGGCAGCCTCATCTTTTTCCCTCCAGGTGGCTGGTGGGTTTGAACCAACAACCTTGCAGTTAGCAATCCAACACTTATCCCACAACACTATCAACGCTAGACATTGACATATCCTGCATAATCGGCTTTAGCCTGAGCCTTCCAACAAACTTTACAATGCTTAAACACACGCACACGCACACACACACATTCATTCAACATTTGTGGAGCATCCAAACCTAAAGCAGCCCAGTCCATGCCTCCTGAGGACAGTGTCTATCGCTTCAGCTGGGCCTGCTAGCAGCTGCGTGTACTCAGAAAACCTTAACTCCCCTCCTGCCACCACCCTAACCAGTTCAGAAAACCCCACCTCTCCTTGTCTTGGGCCTTGTCACTCATTCTTATCTGAAGTTAGATCCGGGGCGGGGTCTTCTTCACTCTGTTATGGTCTTGCTTCCTAGTCTCTGGTCTGTGGACCAGGTTTCTGGGTGTATGATGTGTCAGGGCTAGTTGGATAAGGGTCATTTAGTCTGGCAAGGACACCATGAGGAGGTAAGTTGATCACTGGTCTCAGGACTAAACCAGTTGCCGATGAATTGACTCCAACTGCTGGCAACCCCATGTGGGTCAGAGTAGCACTTTGCTCCAAAGGTTTTCAATGGCTGGTGTCTTGAAACAGATCCTCAGGCCTTTTTTCCTGAGTTAATAGCCAAGCTTGTTTATCGTTTGGACCATCCAGGAACTCTGACATCAGGACTAGAGAGGGATTTTAGAAGAAGGCAGTGAACCAGTTGTTCACTGCCTGTGAAAGAAGCAGGAAGAGAAATCAGCTAAGGTTAAGAAAGGATAGATGGTGTTTGGAGAGAAGGAAGAAAATGCTCTCCAAAGAATAGCCAGAGTTGGTGCCATGTGACCTCCATGCCTGACCCCTGGGAGTTGCTGACAGGCCAGGGCTCAGCCCAGAGGACCGTGTAGCAATTCTTCCTTCTGTGATGGGCTGGGTTGGAGCTCTTGTGGAGTGCCTCAAACTCTCCGGGGTTCATGATTCTATGATGTCACTGAAGAGAGTAAGAATGGGGAGCCCAGTTGGCTCCAGCTGCTCTGATTCCTCTTTGGATTCTGATGGGTTTTGGGGTGAGGGGAGGTGAGCTGAGAGATCACACGTGCCCCAGCTCAGTCTCCCCTCAGGCCACCTCAGCCCCACCACACATATGGAGAAGAATTAGCCAGTGTGAGTCAGCCCCACCGAAACCAGCACAGCTTCCTTTACAGAACTGATCCAGAGAACAAGAAAAACAGCCTTTTATTCTTCTGTTTTTAGAGAAGACTAAGAAAACTGTATTCAAGCTGAGCAGGACAACCCGTGATTGTGAGCGTGGACGTGTCTTCTAACGAACCCTATGAGCTTTGAAACCGCAGCAGTCACTTTCATCGGCACGCTTCCAATTTTCTTCATTATCATCCTACTTTTATTGGCGATTTCTTTGTATAAATGGTATAAATCCATGCTGAGAAATTGGGATCAAATTTAGAGTCACAATAGCCAATATATCTAGAAATGTACAAAACAATTTAAAATAGCAGAACAAATAATGCTGTAGCTATCTAGTTTTCCTATTTCAGGGTTTTAGAAATGTTCATTTCTTGTTTAGAAATGAAGCGCCCTTTTCTGTCCTTAAAAATCAGGGTGATTCGGCCTTTTTGTTTCTCTTTATTTCTATGTTTTCAGTTTCAAAAACAACAACGATGAAGAGACAGAAGAAGTATCTTGTAAGGATGGTAATGGAGATGAAGACAGTTCCGTTGCACCTGTGGAGTTGAATGACTCAGGAGACCCAGAAAAGTAGGCCTATCTGAGCATGTGGAGAAGACCTTTTTATGTGAGGATGGTGGTGAGGGTGCATGGACTGTTAAAAACCCAGCTGCTTTCTTTTCCAGGACTATCCTCATGCAAACCATGGATGAGGATACACCGGAGAGGCACGGCATCCTTGTGCAGAGACAGAGAAAGGTGGTGATGGACATACCCTTAGACAACAAGGAGGACCTGGACAAGGGGAAGGAGGAGGCCAAAACGATAAAGGAACAAGAGCCTGAGAATGCTGGCGAGTCTGGCCCACAGGTGATGGGCTTCTCTATCTCGAGAGCAGCATAGGCAGAATGCATATGACTGAAAGGAGGTAAATGACTCTGTTGAGGTAGAATAACAAGGAATGGTGTTGCCTGTGATTGAGATTGTCCCTGGAATGAGCCCAGTGTCCAGAAGCCTTTAGATCATCCTTCTTTGCCTATCTGCTTATGATGTTAAGCCAAATATATATGGTAAGCCTTAAAACTTGCTCATTCTTCATTTTTACATGGTATTTTCTTCTTAATTTCCCTTCATTTTGTTTGCTCAGAATCCTATCTTTGAGCCAGAAGAGCCCTTGGAAATCCTCTAGGAATCCAAGTCTCTTGTTAGAAATGAGATGATTATTCCAGGTCACCCCTCCCCACTGGCCGACCTTGGAACCAGACCCCATGTCCCGTCTTCCTTTAGTTCCAGATCTTTCTACAACACACAGACATTGTCAGGGCCTCCTTGAGCCCGCAGGGGGTCTCTCTAATAGAACAACTCACATGATCTCCAACCATATACCCCCATGTCCTGCATGACAGAATGATGGTCCAGGGATTCTTGTATTTGCCCAACATGACTTTATAATGACCCATTCACAGACAGAATAACCCGTGTCACCAAATGGCTTTTGAATGTATCATTGTATGTGTGTTGTTGGGTGCTGTCCTGCTGATTCCTCACATACCACCCTTGTGTAAGTCTATAACAGAAGGCAGGGCTGCCCAGTCCTGTGCCAGCCTCACAATTGTTTCTAGGTTCAGGTTAATTGTTGTAGCCATTTTTCAACCACAGAAATAGAAAAATGAAATTTGATGGATCATCACTGCTTTCCTCTTATCATTTGGAGATTTTTGTTTTTTACTGTTTTTCAACATGTGGCTAGCCTATATTTTTAAGATCAAGGCTTGCTGCATTCTTAAACTGACAATGTAATTATTTGTCTCATTCTCTTTCAGGGTGAGAGTTTGACAAAAATTGGAATTCCTATGGATATTGAAAACCAAAAAAGACCCTTAAAAGGAGTGACGTTTTCCAGGGACGTAGTAGTTGTGGATCTTTGGAAGAAATACCCTACACCTCAGAGCTGTACTCGAGAACATGAGAACATAAAGAGAAAAAATGAAGCTCCAAAAGCTAAGTATGAAAACAATGGGACCTTGGACCAACAGTGAAATGATCAAGCATGCAAAATCTTGTTGAAACAGCTAAGTATTGGGGAATTGAGCCAATGCAGATAGTGTTTTTACCCTTACGCAAAAACAAGTGGGCTACCTGCAAAATTCTGTAAGTAAAATTACTCAGAGATGAAATACAGTTTTTTTAAAAAAACTGAAATCTGAGTTTGAGAAATTAATTATATAGTAAGTCTTTATAGAAGTCTGTCTACTCAAACGCTTCTAACATGTGAATGAAGTTATTTCTGTATGTGCAGATGTCTGCTAGGTAAACCATATTCAAGGGGGGGACTTTTGAAACTATGTATTTATATAATATTTAGTAAGATTTTATTGTGTTTTCAGTCAGTGTTTACACAGCAAATTTGTTTTCCATATGTCAGTTTCTATACAAATTGTTCAGTGACATTAGTTACATTTTTCACAATGCATCAGCATTTTCATTATTTGCATTCTGGTTGTACCGTTTCCCATACTATAGTTTCCTTACCCCCTAGTCTTAAACACTATGTGTTCTTAAGGATTACAGACATTCATGACAAAATAACATTGGTCTCTTACTATGTAATCCGCTTTGAACTCACCCTGAAACCTCTCTTGTCCTAGCTTTTAAAAGATTTATGAAAAAAAAAAAATTGCCATCAGCAAAAATATCCTGTTAATTTAGGCAAGTCCTAAAATTATGCTGTTGTTGATTTCAGTAGTTTGAAATTGGCTGTCATATTTCAGAAACCCTGTACAGGGTCGCTATGGGTCTGAACCGACTCGACGGCACTTAACAACATCAACATATTTCATATTTGAAATATTATAGTAAAGACCTGCACAAAGTCACCCAAATGACTGTAATAAACATATTAAATGTGTGTTGTGTGTAAGGGGAAGCAGAAAATACAGCCTTTGATTCCGGTCGAGACCCCTGAATCAAATTTATTGAGCATGACTTAGGGCATGAAACCTAAGGCCTGAGGTCAATGTTCTGACCCCATTTTTGAGTCTTAATGTCAAATAACCCCCTGAATACCTGACACAATTCTGACACAACTTTGATATGCCCATCAATGCCCTTCAATATGAAAATTCTGGGAGAGTGGAAAGATATTTTGAGTCAGGAAGATAAAACTTCAGAAGGGCCTAGGAAAAGGGCGTAAAGAGCTCTGTTCTGTAGACTCTTGCTCTTGACAGTGACATTAGGTGCTGGGCTGTTTTCTGTTACTTTCTTTCCTTTTTCCTAGCCTGTTAGACCTGTGGAGACCCCCTATTGTTTCTGCAACATTGTGCTGCAATTTTTGAAAAACTATCACAATCATGATGATTCATGGTGGTAGCATACCTGTGAAAGCAAGCCCACCACTCTTTTGCCAGTTTGTGGTATTGTGGTGGTTTGCTTGTTGTCATGATGCTGGAGCTGTACCAGCAGGAGCACCATGTTAGACAGGTTTCAGTGGAGCTTCCGGACTAAGACAGACCAGGAAGAAGGAAAGGTAGACAACTTCTAAATGGTTAACCACTGAAGACCTTACGATGCATTTGAGTGCTGGAGAAGAATATTAAAAGTACGTGGATTATCAGAACAAAGAAATTGGTGTTGGAAGAATTTGTGTTAGAAGCCAGAATGCTGAGACTTCTTCTCTCATACTTTGGACTTGTTATCTGGAGTGTCCAGTACGTGGGGAAGGACATCATGGTTTGTAAATTGGAAGGTTAGCAAAAGAGAGGAAGACCCCCCAATGAGATGAATTGGCACAGTGGCCCCAGCAATAGGCTTGTGCATACAATTGTGAGGATGGTGCAAGATTGGTCAGTGTTTTGTTCTGTTACGATGAGGTGGAACCCACGTGATGACACCTAACAACAATGGAAGCAAGTTACGTGCAGTGAATTTTTTTTTACCTTCATAAACTGTTGGTTTTGTCAAGTTCTTCAGATTCAGACAGAAGGTGTTTCTGATAACATACATGTCAGTTCCTTTCTTCCACCTTTGTTTCTCTTTGTGTCTCATGCTGAACAAAACCACTTTTTTCACTGCTATAACTTTATAGTAATTTTCACCTATGACAAACATATTTTTCTGGCATATGCTTAATAAATGTTTGTTGAGCATGTAGGAGAATAATCTGGAGCTAAATGTTAATTTGATTTTTATTTGTCTTGTTCCTAAATATGAAGTGTTTGCTAGCTGCAATAACATTTGCTACTAAATGCTTTTACATACCTGGTACTAGTCAAACAGTTTTACTATACAGGATCGCTATGAGTCAGAACTGAGGAAGTAGGTAGATGGCGAAGGAAGGAAGTAGATAGTAGGCAAAGGAGGTAGATGGCAGATGCTGTTTATCTCACAATAACTATTCTCCTCATCTTCCTTGGGAATAGATGCTCCAAGTGTCAGCTGGGCACATGGCTTACTAGAATAAAGATGATACTTCCCAGTTTTCCTTGCTGCTAGTGAGACAGAGGGGGAAAGGGGTCCAGAAATCAATAATAAACATGAACCACTTATTGAAATCTTGAAACCATAGTCTTGAGGAATGTTGAAGCCTGCTCCCCTCCTTACTTGCGCAATTGTAAAGATGTGCAGGATCTGCCCAGAGTGTACAGCTGAGCAGCCACGTCCTGGGATATGCCATCAAGAAAGACCACCCATAACAATTCTGAATTTTATGGGACATTCCATTAAGGAAGATCACCCATAAAAATTATGTATTTTATGGGACATGCCATTAAGGAAGACCACCTATAAAAATCCTGTATTTTTACTTTTTTGTGAGATATTTTGCAGGTCGGATTTTACCGGTGCCCTAGGCATAACTTTAAAGGGCGAAATTCCAGAAGCAGAGGAGACACCATTCCTTGGGAGGGGTTTGAACCAGGGTCCTGAAGAACCATACATGCACAACATTCCATAATAAATTTTGTCTGCCCCTTCAAGGTGGAATCCATCTTGAAGAAATGCTGAGCATGAACCCAATTAGCATGGCTCCTCCTAAAGGGGCCATTTCCCAGAAATCTCCACCTATCCCTTTGAATAAGCATGATGCCTTTTCCCTACCCAAAACTTCTTAAACCCCAGCAAAAACTTTGATCAGGGCGCGATGGGCGGTGCATGAGACAATGGGAAGAGGGGGGTTAAGAGTTTCATTAAGCCCTCCCTGTTGCTGCTTTACTCATGTGGAAACCCTGCCTTACCTAACTTCTTAAATCAGTGGAGCGGCAAACCCCTTCTCTTAAAGGGCAGAAATGTGGCCGGCGCTAAACATATTGCCATGTAATATGTTCTGATCAATATGATCCAAACAAGAATATTGGGATGTGTCTTTAAAAGTTGTGGGCGTACTCCTGTGAGCACGGGTAGAGACTTGGTTGGCTAGCAGTGCGGCAAGACCTGGGGACTCCTGGGCCCAGAGTCAGTGACATAGCCACAGAGGACTAGAGTGGACAGTGAAGCGTCCAGCTGATAAGAAGAGAGGTCCTATGCAAAGAACACCCACACTTGCAGATAATACCCACTTGACCTGGCTTCAGTGACTGGATGATCAGAGCTCAACCAGAAGAAGAAGGAAGAGGAAAATAAGAGTAATCTGATACAATATGATGAACTTGACCTATACCTAGGGATGCAGTAGCTCAAAAGAGGGAATAAATCTTCACAGCAAGAATCATTCCCACCCCCTTCATACACAGAGTAGACAGGGATGGGCAACTTGGACATTGGCTACCCAAAATGGGGGTGCTGCAAAGGTAAGAAGTGACTGGCTTACAAGTTTTCAACAGGGACTTTAGATGCAGAGGGTGTGAAGGAAGTTAGAATCTCTACTGAGTAGTATACAATCTGTTTAGGTGGGGCTAATGAGATGAAATGCGTGTAGGTCTATTGTGATACAATAGTGAATAATTGTTATCAGGAGTGATTGTGATTGTTGGAAATGTAAAGGTAGACATTTTATAGCAAGGAGGGGAGTGATTAACTTTCTTGTCTAGGAGCGGAGGTCCCTGAGACCACCAAGGGAGAAGAGCAGAGAGTGGGCCCCTACCCAGAGAAGCAGTGATGCCTGAGATGGAGGCAGAGATGATGCCTTGGAGAGATGGAACAGCTGGGGACTTTAGACCCAGAGATGGAGGGGGGCTGTCTGCTGACAAACAGGGGGCAGACTTGTAGTGTATACCCTTTGGTTGTTTGATGATGCATGGAGGGGATTATAACCATGGCAATGAAATAATATACGATAGGATGAATGTAAAACTAATGTTCTCCCATGTAAACTATCACATAATTCACAATAAAACATTAAAAAAAAAAGTTGTGGGCATGATCTTCTCTTGCTCTTTTTTCTTTCCACTGGTTGGAATGTAGATGGGATGTAGCAGCCATTGTAGACTCCAATGTGTGGAAGCTATACGTCAAGAATAGTTACTAGAAGCAGCCCAGGTCCCTAACAATTGTGGATCTTTATTTTCCATGAACTATTTTTACATGAGAAAAAAATGAATTCCAATCTTGTCTAATATTTTGATATTGTTTCTTTGTTACCAGCAGATGAATCATTCTAATTAAGGTAGGTGATAATACAACTTTACAGATTATGAAGAAAATAATAGCTAAGGAACTTGCTTAAGATCACTCAACTTGTTGTTGTTGTTAGGTGCCATCGAGTCGATACTGACCCATAGTGACCTTATGCACAGCAGAATGAAAGAAACACTGTCCGATCTTGGGCCAACCTCACTACTTTTGCCACGCTTGAGTCCATCGATGCTGCCACTTGGCCAATCCATATCGTTGGGGGTCTTTCTGTTTTTCTCTGACCCTCCACCTTACCAAACATGACATCTTTCTCCATTGACTGGTCCTTCCTGACAATATGTCCGGAGTATGAGAGACGAAGTTTGGCCATCTTGGCCTCCAAGGAGCACTGTGGCTACACTTCTTCCAAATCGGATCTGTTGGTTCTTTTGGCAGCCCATGGCACTTTCAATATTCTCCTCCAACACCATAACTCAAAAGTATAAATTCTTTTCCCATCTTCCCTATTTACCGTCCAGTTTACGCACGCATAAAGAGGAAGACCCCCAATGAGATGGATTGGCCAAGTAGCAGCATCGATGGACTCAAGCGTGGCAACAGTAGTGAGGTTGGCCCAGGATCCGGCAGGCTTTCGTTCTGCTGTGCATAGGGTCACTATGAGTCGGTATGGACTCGATGGCACCTGACAACAACAACAGTGAATGGAGACTCAGCACACCAGAACAAAACCCTGATCCGTGCTCCTCTCCATGGTCACAATTGTTACGTTTGAACCCATTGCTGCTGCCACTGATCTTCCTGGTTTTCACTGACCCTCTGTTTCACTGAGCATAATGTCCTTCTCCAGGGACTGGTCCCTTCGGATAACATGTCCAACGTATGTGAGATGAAGTTTTGCCATCCTCGCTTCTAACCAGGGAACATATTATTGATGTGTGCTCTTGACTCAATTCTGACTCGCAGTGACTCGGTATAGGGTTTACAGAGTGATAGTTGTTGCTAAGTCCTGTGGAGCCAGTTCTGACTCCTAGCGACCCTGTGTAGAACCTCGTGGTGGAGTACTTAGCCTACAGCGACACACCAGGACAGTTAGTGGGTTTGATCTGCTGACTTTGTGGTAACCAGCCCTACAGTCACACCAGGGAGTAAAGTATCCCAAGGTATTCGATCAAACACTAATTTACATTTTGTTGTGAAGGTATTTTGTAAATGTGGTTAGCATCTACAGCAGGTGAATATCAGTAATGATGATTACCCAAGATAATGTGGGTAGAACTCACACAAGTTGAAAACTTTATGAGCAAATACTGAGTTCCTGGAGAAGAAGGAATTATCAAGACTGCAACCATCATCTGCTGTGAGAACGTTTCCAGGCTGCTGGTTTACCCCAGAGTTTATGGACTTGGCAGCCCCTACTTTCGCCTAAGCCTATTCCTTGGAGTAAATCGTGCCACTTAGGAAAACCATAGGGCACGGCATGAATTTCAAATGAAATGTATAAGGAGAACACGCACAGCTGGGACCATATCACACCGCGACTCCACTCGTTCTGACCTTAGAAGCTGGTAGTTCAAATGCATGCTCCTATCTAGAAGTCCTGGTGTGACGCTGTAGGGTAAACACTGGATTGCAAAATTGGCTTGAATTGCAAGGTCGGTAATTCAAATTCACCACCCACTCCTCGGAAACCCTATCCTGGGTCGCTATGAGTTGGAACCGACTGCATGGCTCTTAACAAATCAGGGGGTAGAGTGTGTGGGAACGAGTCCTGGTGTGACTGTGGGATAAGCACTAAAAAAGTGTAAAAACCTAGATGGAGAATATGATGAGCACTGGACTGCTAATCGCAAGGTCGGCGGTTCAAACACACCAGCTGCTCCTGGGAAACCCTGTAAAGGGTCGTTAACAACAGCATCCTCCAGCGTCCGCTGATTTCATGGACAACAATAGACACGTGTGTGGTAAGCTACGTGCCGAAACCTTTATCTCTATCCTCAGTACGGCTCTCAGTCATTCTACTTACCGCCCTGCTTACTAACACTTAAAAAAACAATTGCAGTAATAGCAGTGAATCTTTGACATGAGGCGGAAGAGAAATCGCAAAGAGTATGGGTCCAACACCCCATCTTCAGGACACACCCACTCACGATCCCCTCATTCTCCTCCTCATCCTGACCCCGCCTCCAGCCCTGCCTCCCCGGCCACTGGGTTCCAGGGCCCCGCTCCAGCCCCGCCCACGACCCCGCCTCCCAGACCGCCGAATTCCTGGGCTCGGCTCCTGTCCCCGCCTCCCCAGGTTTCGAGGCCCCGCCTCCCCAGGTGCCCTGCTCTCGAGCTCGTTTCCTAGCTTGCCTGAGCGGGACGCTGGTTTCTGGCAGCTTCTGGGCACTGGAACGCTCCAGTCTTAGGCTCCAAGGCCGGAAAAACCGGGCAGAGCCGCCTCACTGCAGCCCTTCAGTGTTCTTCGCAGACACCAGCGCGCGGTGTCCGCGCGGCCATGGCTAAATGGGGCCAGGGAGACCAGCGCTGGATCGTGGAGGAGCGGGAGGACAGCACCAACCGGAACAGCTAGCAATGGTACGGCGGGCGGGCGGACGGGCGGGCCTCCCGGGGTAACGTGATTGCGGGGCGCCTCTCGGGCCGCAGTGCTCTCTCGTGGGGGTGCGGGATGCACACGCCCCCCGTAGTTGCTTCATGAGGGACAGTTCTCAGTGTCAGGGCATGGAGGCCAGTGAGTCTGGAGACCCGGACCTGACGAGCACCGGCTCGCTGGGCTTTGACTCTTTGGAAATTGGGCTGGGCCCCATGAATGACTTACCTTTACACTCTGACAGTCTGTGGCCTTAAGGGTCTTCCCGCCCCTAGTTCACCCCCTTTCGTGCCTCTGGGAATTGAAAGGAAACGGGAAGGTGGGTGTGTATCTGTGTGTGTGCATTGATATGTAATGGAAAGGACAGGAATTTGGATCTCAGCTCTGCATTTGACTAGATGGCCTGTAGTAAGCCTTTCCTTGTCTGAGCAAGTTAAACCAAAACAAAAACAGTAGCGTGGATTCTGACTTTTGGGGACACGTGTGTCAGAGTAGAACTCTGCTCCATATGGTTTTCAGTGCCTGGTTTTTCCGAAGTAGAGTGCCAGGCTTTTCTTTCAAGACATCTCTGATTGGATATAATCCTTCCTTCAGTTACGACCTGCTCTGTTCATTGGTTGCATCACCCACGGACTCTTGGAGCAGGTTTCCACTGCCTCTCACATACAGGGTTTCAAGAAGTGATGCTCTGAGCCTCAGGGCTGTCCAGGTGATACTAAGGCAGGTCCCCAGGGCCCAGCAAAGCCAGCAGCCTGGAAAGGGACCCAGGCATGGTGAGTGGTGAATCTTTACTGGAGGAACATTAGCCTGGCGCTCAGAAGAGCTGAGCTCTACAGATACTTTATAGACTTCACTCAGCTCAGTCTGCACCTGTAAAATGGGAATGTTATTTGAGGAGATTGCTTGAGATACTATATATAGAGTAAGAGTAAATAAAAAGTATTGCTACTAGAATTTTAGTGGTTACGAATCGGGCTGTGAACCTTAAGGTTAGCGGTTCGAAACTACCAGCCGCTCCGCGGGAGAAAGATAAGGCTTTCTACTCCCGTAAAGATTTATACCCTCGGAAACCCTGTTACAGGGTCGCTATGGGTCGGAACCGACTCGATGACACTTAACAACAACAACAACTAGAATTTCAGTTCATACATGTTTATTCCAAACAAAATGTGTTTAAACATGTCTTTGAGACCAGTGGATGGCTGCAGACAAGATCTGTCACACACTTGTCTTAGTTATGCTCCCTTCAAAATTAAAAGGTCTGTTCCACGGGAGAAAGATGAGGCTTTCTGCTCCCGTGAAGATTTACAGCCTCGGAAACCCTGTACAGGATCGCTATGAGTCGGAACCGACTCTACGGCACATAACAAGTACAAACAGTGGCTTCCAAAGGGATCTGTTGGGTGGGTTCAGTTCAGTGCAGACATGTCAGCTCAGAAAGTTACGGCAGCTGGGGTTTTTTTTGTTTTTGTTTTTGTTTTGCAACTAAAGGGGTAGAGTTGATAGGTTTTCTTGAAGGACACAGGATGATCGTGGAGTCTTATAATGAAGAAGTTTTAAGAAAATTGAAAACCATTTTGGTGAGGAAAAGACCAGGAAAGTTGTTCTGAGGAATCCCCGCCCCCCAACACTACAGTGCCCCTGTTCATTCTTGGAGGGTGGCAAGGGCTGTCCTACAAGAATTTAATGAGAAACCTTATCCACCTACAGCCAGCCTCCTTCAGACTTCTTTTTGTTCTCGAAACTCAAAGAACATTTGAAGGGAACACAGTTTGCCTCCTTTGGGAATGCCAAAATTGACATTTTCATGAAGGGTAACTAGAAGAGAGCAGAATTCCTTGGCAAAGTGTTAAGAGAGCTGGGAACACTGCCTTCAGAAGTGTATAGACCTAGATTATGTTGAGAAACAGTAGCTTCATAGTTTTCTATTTCTGTTGCATGAAGATGGCAATGATTTTGTAGCAATACTTTTTGATTTACCCTTGTAATTGTGAAAATGCTTGATGACTTGTAGTGTCTTCATTAAATTGATTTCAGTTGTTACTACCTTTTCTTAACCACCCACGTTTTGCCCACCCATTTCCAATTGCTAGTCCACCTCTCTCTCCCTCACACTAGTATTTTCAAGGCAAAGTACTGTTTTACATAGTGGAGAATCTCTCAAGGAACTGCTCAGGGGAATCAAAGGTAGACAGTAGGTATGAGAAACATGTTTGGGGTGGCTGGTCTCATGAGGATACTTGAGAGGGATCAGGATGATCTAGGCTGGACTGGGTCACCAGGTGGAACACATGGATCCCAGCTGAGACTTCCAGTCATGACTTTGTCCTCTGGCCCCTGGTGGGACAGATCAGATTCCCGCCAGCTGGTCCAAGGGGAAGCTTCTGGTGGGCATCATTGTGGAAAATGAGTCCGGCCACTGCAAAATCAATGAGCAGGTAGAAGTGGAAACTTCTGCTGTGAATGGAATGTCAGAATGAGCTGGAAAGGTAATTGGTGCCTCAGATTGGGGATAGTTGGTGGAGGGCTGGAGGGTGTGGAGTCAATTCACTTATTCAGCAAATATATTTTAGACCTCGTGCTGTGGGCCAGGCACTGAGTAGCCCATGAGTTGGTGTTTGAAGTTCTAGAAAAAGGGGTGTGTGTCCTTGGCTCCTGAAGTGGAGGCTTCCCTTTCTCCCAGTGCACTCAGAGTGGTTCAGGGTCTTGCTCTCAAACAGAGCCTTTTCCACCAGGATGTGAACACTAGTGAGTCTCGAGTTACTGCCTGGAACACTCTCCCACTAAGGATCTCCCTTGCTTGTTCCTCCACCTCTTTAGATGCTTCATTCTTCTGAATAACGCTAATTTTCTCCATCCAATAAGCACTGCAGACCCCTGCCTCATACCATCTCCCTTTCTTTGCTTGATGTTCCCCCGAACACTAGCATCTGGTGTAGGGTATATCAGTTGTGGCTTATTGTCCTGCTACTTCCACTCCTCTGTTGGTGTGTGTCATCAAGTCGGTTTCCAATTCATTGTGACCCTATATAGGGTTTCCAAGGAGCAGCTGGTGAGTTACAGCTACTGAACTTGTGGTCTAGTGCTTTATCCTAGGGTGCTACACCAGGACTCCCATTCATTGCGCAGGGATTTTTTATTGTTAGCAACTTGAGATCCAATTCACATACCATGCAATTCACCCACTTAAAAGGCCCGGTGGTTTTTGGTATTTTCACAGAGTTTTACAATGATCACTGCAGTCAATTTGAGAACATTTTCATCACCCCATAGAAGCAATCCCACATCCTTCATCAGTATCCCTGAGCCTTTAACCCATGGCAGCCACTAACCTGCTTTTTTTGTCTGGATTTGCCTTTCATGGACATTTCCTATGAATGGAGTCATGGAATGTGGCATTCTCTGAGTGGCTTCTCTCAGTTAGCATAATGCTTTTAAGGTTCTTCCATGGTGTAGCATGTGTCAGAACTTTATTCTTTCTTCATGGCGGAACAATATGATATCGTAGACGCTACATTTTGTTTATTCATCAGATGCTGGACAATTGGGTTGTTTCCATTCTTTGGTCATTTAGGGCAGGGATTTTAACTAGTTTTGTATCTGGACTAAGGTCATTATCTGGACTGTTACATAAGTTTGTTGAATGAATGCATTACTCTCGTGGTACCTAGCTCCATGCAGAGAGTTTTACAGCTTTACAGAAATTACATGCGTGTTATATGCATTGTATAAAATTTTATTTATTATTTGGACAAACTGTGCAACCCCCTCAGGTATTAGTTTTGTGCTGTGCTCCTGTGCATTATGTGCTTGGGTGTACTACATGCAAAAGAATACAGCATGAGTGCCATAAATGCTTGTAGAAATTAGTGTATGGAGACAAAGGGGAAAAAGGAGATTAGAGGTGTGGTTCTGGAAGACTGTGTTGCTTTCACATTGGGCCTCAGCCCTAGCGGCTGTCTTGCCAGCTGAAGCCAGGCCCGAGGCAGGGGTGTTCAATATGCCTCCAAAGCAGGCCCACTGCTGCCTTCGAATAACGACTCTCAGCTGGAGTTTACCTTCAGTTACTCCCTTAGTGCTGATGAAGTCTGGCTCCTCATCCCCTCTGAAGGCTGGAGGAACCACATGGCCTGGCCTCGTGTCTCTTCCATCTTTTTTGGCCCACAACAGCAACCAGCTCTTCTGCAAGACGAGACCCAGACACTGTCAGGCAGTTCTTGAGGTACCTTGAGCAGACCTTGTGTTGGTCCCTCTAAATGTGAGGGACCCACTGGGGAGAAGGTAGTACTGGTCTCAAAAGGAACTTAACTTCATAGAATCCACAGGGAACATGCCCAAGCCCCAGGCCCCCTCTGCTCACTCTCTTCTCTTCCTGTCCTCTCCTCCCTTTTGTGACTTCTTTTCTCCTTGAAGGCTACCCTTTATTCTGTTTTGACCTGGTGAAGAATGCTAGAGGATTTGGAAAGAAACAGGGGTTGGAACTGACTGATGCCCCATCCTTCCCTAAGGGCTGACGTGGCTCCCAGATTGTGTTTGCAGTTACTTAAGGCTAGCTCCCGTCCGCCTGTCTTGTCTGCCTTCCTCTGATGTGGGTGAGGGAGCAGGGTAGCCTTCTGCACCTGTTTGGTGGTCCAGCCTGGGGTCACCTTGTCCCTGGGCCTGGTGGAGCTCTGTGAGGGAGAGTGGTTTGAGGTACTCCAGCTGTTGATATTTAATTGCAAAAACACCTCATTTTTGCTTGCTTTAGCTACCCTTAAGGAATCCAGTGTGAAACACTAGGGCTTGATTGAAATTCCCAATCTTTCAGAAGAAAAAGAAGTAGATGACACTGAGGTATCTGTTGGATACTTTTGTGTTTTTCTTTTTTTATTATTTTAATTTTTTTAACCAACCTTCTGCTATAGATGTTGGTCACCTGAAAAATGATTGATTAGACTGCGTGACTACCACTCCAGTGTGGTAGTTTTGATGAATGGTGGAGGGCCTGTTTGCTTTACTGTAGGCAGCAGTGTCGGGGTGGGGCTGTAAGACTGCAGCCCCCATCTCTGTGAAACAGTGAACCTGAGCTGTCTGTATTGTAAGCTGCCAGGCAGCATGCATGGCTTGGTGAATATTACTTTGTTTTCTCTGCATCTTTGCTGTTTCCCTTTAGTAGTGACAATTGTCCATATCTATCTTTGGTTATGTCTCCTGGTTTTCCATTAACACTTTCCTGTGGGTATATTGTTTGAGTCCCCTGGGTCTCTTGGGAGATAGAACTCCCCTGCATGGCCTCCAGTTCGAGCTCTTTTTAAAGCGGAAAGCTTGGTTCTGGGTGTGATACCCTTTGCTCAGCTATATTTCCATACAAGATAGTGTGCCAGAGCCTTTTCTTGTTATTGTTATATGTTATTGTTAAGTGCCATTGAGTTGGTTCTGATAGCAACGCTACATAGGATTTCCAAAGAGCAGCTGGTGGGTTTGAACCACTGACCTTGCAGTTAGCAGTCTAGTGCTTATACTATAGCACCACACCAGTACTCAAGTGGTTAGTGGCTACCATATTGGGCAGCATATTTATAGACCCTTATAAAGGCCATGGACCACATACTAACAAAATAATGAATGTACATCTACACACAGAATAATGCCTAGACACATGCATTGTTGGTTGGTTTTATGCCACGGAGTTAGTTCTGACTCATAGCGACCCTGTATAAGGTTTCTGAGACTATAAATCTTTATGGGAACAGAAAGCCTCATCTTTCTCCTGTGGAACAGCTGGTAGTTTCGAACTGCTGACCTTGTTGTTTGCAGCGCAACTCGTAACCATTACGCTATCAGAGCTCCTTATGTATATACATACACACACAAAATACTGCATCAGCCCCTACCCTAGTCAGTGGACCCCAGATTCAAAAAGCTTTACCAGTTAAGGGTCAATTCCAATTCATGGTGAGCCCATGTGTGCTTGAATAGAGCTACTCTGTAGGGTTTTAGTTGGCTGATTTTTCTGACATAGATCACCAAGCCTTTCTTCTGAGGTGTCCCTGGATGTAAACCTCCAATCTTTCAGTAAGTAGCTGATCACTTAACCATAGTGACTTCTTAAACACCCATCTGTCCCTTAAACTATGTATTAACTTTCCATCTCACATTTGCTGCTTCTCCATGCCCCACCATCACAATTCTCTCTCATCCTTAAGCCCCAATGATGTGAGAAAACATCAAACCAGATTTTTAGGTTTGTACATGAATTTTTCTGATTTGTACATGAACATGAGTGAAAAGAAAGGCGATGGGGCTATACTGAAGGATCTTAGGAAAGCTCCAGGCCCCACCAAGGTCAGGGAGGCCCTTGGAGATTACCTGAAGGCACTAAGAGTGGTACAGAAGGCATCCCTTGTGAACCAGAGGGTCCCTTTTCTGTTTACCTAAGTTATCCTCTACACTGTGGTCCACACCCTCAAGTTCGGCTGATGTCTAAGATGCCAGGATAAACTGTAGTGTAGGAGTCGAGAGCTAGTCACGGATGAGACCATTAGTGATTCTCTGTATTGTACACAGCATGAATCATTTTGACTACATAGTTGTTAATAGTAAGTTTTTTGGGATGATTCCTATTGTTGGTTGTGTAATTACTTGTTTAAATGTGTGTCCTCACTGAGGACATGGACAGTGTCTCATTTCACTGTTGTATCTCTGGCATGTAGCACAATGCCTGGTACCTAGTAGGTGCTAAATAAACGTAATGCTGAATGAATGAAAGTGGTTATGGGGGAGATGTACCCTAATCCCTACACTGCCTATAAGTGAGGTTACTGTCTCATACCCCAAATAAGAGAAGTGCCTACGAGGCACAATAGCCAGCAGGGATTGCCTCTGTGCACATCCTCGTTGGTCTCTGTTAGTGCTGAGTGTCTGGGTGTTTGAATAGAGGAGTGTGGGCTTGCCCCTCTCCCTCAAGACCATATATGTGGATGGCTTCCAGGTGGAAAGCTGTGAGGTGAAACAGTGAGAAGTCGCTTAATTTTAAAAGGAAAAGGTAGCAAAACCATTAGTTGTTAATCATATAAAACTTAACTGTTAGGAAAAGGACATTAATAATTTTTTGTTATTTTATTGAAAACTTGATAAAAGCAAGACGTTTGAAAAAAGAATCAATTTGCTACTTTTGGAACTCAGATTGTTAATCATAGGTAGGAAATTTTATTTTTATTTGGCATTTCAGCTATGTATAGGTGTACAATTCAGTGACATTAAATTCACCATGTTGAGCAACAATTACCAGGAGTTTTTCTGCATTGAAAATGGAATGGTCTTGAAATTCTCAAGATACTACTGTAATTTTTAAATTACAGTATTTAAATAGCACTGCTTTTTGTGCTGAAAAGAATTGTATTAAAGCCATTTCCTACGTTTCTTTGTAGAATTTACAATGAGAATGATTTTACCAACGAAAACTATTGCAACTGAGGAACTGACTGTTAAAAGCAAACTGAGTGAGGGTACCTTGCTGAAGGGGTAAAATGCACTACCCCAGTAAAAAGCTGCTAGTGTGGTCCTGTGGGTTAATGCACTCAACCACTAGGTTGGTTTGAACCACATGATTGCTGGTTCAAGCTCAGCAGCCGCTCAGAGACAGCACATAACAACAACAAATAGAATGCTACAAAATTCAAAGCAGCCTTTTGATGATGGGGAAGTATAAAGGAGTGAGAAGGGGTACCTAATTTATCCTTTCATCCCTTTTGAGCCAGTAAGATCTGACATTTTGCTCTGCAACTTTCATTCCTGATGGAAGGCAGTGTATGAACAGGCTGTTGGGTAAGATAAATACCGAATTCAAAGCAGTGTTCCTAATAGGTAACATATTACAAACCCAGGTGCCTTTGAGGCTTACAGTCCACAATGGGAGAGCCTTCTTCCCTGACTATGGTGGAAAGGCTTTACATACTAATTTTGTTATCTAAGCAAGAGGGGAGTTTGCTGTTGTCTTTTACCTACTTCTGTTTATGTCCTCTGGGCCACAGTTGCCAAGTGTTCAGCTAGGACAGGATCAGGGATCACCACCATGGCTGCACATGGCAGAGCTGTTTGACATGACTGCCATCTGTACAGCACATTCCTGTTAAAAGACCTGAGTAACTCCAGAGCTGGGGCCTACAGTGCTGACAGTGGGAGAAAATGGACCATTCAGAACTGAAACTTGGTCTTCTCTTTCTTATAGGCTGTATTTTCTGAAATGGTGATGCTGGAAAATTGGTGTGATTTGAGGGGGAGAAATGGGCATTTCAAATTGAACATACCAGTGGCTACATTTAGGGGATAATGTTCTTTCCTTGGGGAGAGAAAGCTCTTTTATTTTATTTCACACAGCTACATATTCAGGATTAAGAAAACAAAAACAAACCACAGTAATTATTTTATTACATATTTCACATTTATATTAAGGTGATAAAATGTGCTGGAATAACACATACTATTTTATTTGGTTAGTTGGTACAAAATTCATCTAAGTGTCTTGCCGTATTAGAAGCTGTGAAATGGGAGGCAAATTTCTAATTTTGATGGGACTATCACTGGTGAATTAAGATGAGGCCTTTGTTCCACAACAATTCTACAAATGCTTTTGATTTTCTTAAGACACAACTATAAATCCCTTTCACTCCTTGATCTAGAAATTTCAGGTTTTACATACTTGAAAGCTAGTTCTGCCGCTGAAACCACTAGGATCTACACTGGTGAATCTTTGATAACAGCAGCTTTCTGCTCTGGTTATCACTGTTTCTCCTCCAAACTGAGGGGACACTTGGACAGTAGAAGTGATAACCATGACCGGGAAGACAGGACTTTATGTTGTCATTGATTCTTTCAGTGTTAAGGGGCTTTCATGAAAGTATTTTGTTTTTTATGTGTTTGACTGTTAAGATGTTTTCGGTGGAATTTTCCATTATCAGTTAATAAAAAGATCGTCATGAAATACCCACATTGGCTTTTATCCCCCCACCATAAAAAGAAATAGAACTATATGGACAATTTTATTTTTCTTCCAGAACACTGTGCAGCAGGTGAAATGATTCTGTGCCGTACCCATGGGCAAGTGAAATCGCAATTGGACTGTACGGGAGTTCCAGTTTCTACTGTAAAGATGAAATTCTGTGGGCAGAAGCAGTATTTTGAAGAAACACGTTTTACTGCAGATGACCACCCGAAAGTAGAATAAGCTAAGTAAGATTTTTTAAGAGTATTACTTTTTTAAGCAGAAAAATGTCATGTTTACTGTTTCCCTATCCTTCCTTTTAAAACAGAAAACAAATCCTCAAGTTAGTATGGAATGACAACAAAGCACCCAACATTAGGTATTATTCTCACCTGATGGGCCTCTGGAAATAGATCGAGTTCCTCAGTGCAGGCAGCCATAGTTTCCCAAGCTCTTGGTGTTAAATGCTGTCAAGTTGGTTCCGACTCACAGCGATCCTGTATAGGATTTTTGAGGAGCAGCTGGTGAGTTTGAACCACTGACCTTGGAGGCCAGTGCTTGGTTATCCTAGAGCTTCAAACCAGGACTCTCAATCTATAGACTGTGTTTTATAGCAAGCTTACCGTAGGGTAAGCACTGGACTGCTAACCACAAGAAGTGATTCAAACCCATCAGTTAGCTGCTCCTTGGAAAAACCCTATAAAGTTCACCATGAGCCAGTGAACAGTGGCATGTTGAAGTGATGGTGTTGGGTTGACACATTTTGGGATGGAGAGGACTGAGAACCGGCTCCTTTGTGAACTGTATTAAGTGTTCCCCGCCCATGTTCATTTCTTTCATCTGAGAAGACTGAAGCAACGTATGTAAACAAATGAAAAGTCATCACAATCAGTTTAATTAAGTGCACAGAATAGCAATCAGTCATGTCAATAAAAATAAAACAATTATTTTTACATCAAGTGTGCTTTATTTCCTCCACAGGTATTCTGTTAAATAAAGCACCATTTATATACTGCCAGGCCACAGCTAAAGAGGATTCTTTACAGAATCAAATTTCTTGTGGTTGTTCCGTATACAAGTAAACTTAATTTTGATAATAAGAACCACAGCGATTGGAGGCAATCTGCCTCTATTATAAGGTACAAAACTGGCACAGAGGACACCATATTATACACAGTAAAAATGCTGTAAGTTTAAATTACATTGTACAGGGCCAGGGCACCCTGTTCCTCCCAGACAGCCATATTAAATGAAAGCCACTACAGTGAACTCTTAATTACATAAAACATATCCGTTATCTGATTGCCCTTTAGAAAGTGTACTGAAGATGCAAATTTTTTCATCTGGAGTTCTGCCTGACCAAGAATTAAGCCTATAAATCTATCTTGCCATTCAAGCAGAGAGCACTGGACAAACTGAAGCACAAAACAGAAAGAAGCAAAACTTATACAAACAGCATTGGGGAAGGGGCAGGGAAAGGGGCTTAAAAGTAGACATGCTACATCTAATGTCAAGAAGCAGCTTGGTTTCCTTTGCCAGATATCCTTGTGACCACATGGATGGTAGATTCAATGGTCCTACACAGGGTATCTAAAATGTCGTGTTGCTGCATGTGACTCAAGAGTCCTCTGGAATGGCCACAACTGAGTGATAGAGCAGCCTCAGGGTCCTGGGAGGGCAAAGCTTGCCCATCACAGCTTCTCAAGTCAGCTAAGTCAGACAGAACTGCAGAGATGGAAGTAGAAGGGAACTCAGGTTCTTCCTCTGCTAGATTAGAATCCTTGGAACAGTGGAGGTCTTTAAATTCTTTACAGTCTTCAAATCTACCATTGTTGGACTGTTCTTCTGAATGTTGTGACCTGATATTTGACATGTCTTCTGAAAACGAAGATGGAACCTCCATTCGGTATTCTTTAACAGAACTGTTTTCAGGGGAAGGAAGATCTTGTTCGGTTCCTGGGTCAATAATTGAAGAGTCTCTTGTCTCATTGTCTGAAGTGCTCGTTGGGGTCAGGACTTCCCTTGTTTCTGCTTTCAGGTCGCTCATGCAGCTGTCTATAGTGTGCTCCTCATCGCTGCTAACACGCCTTCTTTTAACGGGAGTTGCCCCTTCGTCATCTGTGAACACAAACGTTCAAACTGAAACAACTCAAAGAGGTTGGTCATTTAGATTAGATATGGGGGGTAAGTTGTGAGACAACTTCCTTTCTATGGAGGAGGCTTGAAAAAGTTTACGGAAAATGCAATTATAGGACGATGGGATTTCCCCAGTGACTTTTTGAAGCCCTCTTCTATTTAGGAGGCTTAGGTGAACATACACCTATTGCAGTTGGTTATACTGTGTTCCTCCTTCTCTTCCCCAACTCTACAGGTAACATTAGTCTATAAAACTAACCTTTAGTTTTTCTTTCTTTGGCTTCTTGCTCTTGGAGTGAGTTTCTCTGTTGTAGACAAGTCCTACATTTGCTTAAGAGCTCTTGCAGAGTTGGAATTAGAGCTGGGTTTAATTGTTTGGGAGTGTGTACCGACAGGAGCAAAGCAAGTGCCCGCAAGTCCTACAGAAAAGCCAAATAAGAGCATTTCAATTCTAGAGCCAACACGTGGACACAAATTATTTACAGTTAAACCAGAGAGCCAGTGCCTTATGTGATACACCACTGTATTTCATTGACTTTAACTCATTAATACCATGACTTAATACTATTTTACGCATCACGACTGAAGATCTAGATTTCTAAAAGTAGAAAAAATTTTTAACTTACTAGAATTTCAAAATCAAACTTTGCATGACCCATGAAAAAGTTTTTGTGTCTTATTCACCCAGAAATCAGTGTGGTAGGTGTTACAGAGTTAGGCCTTTCTCATTAAGCTGTGTAATGTGTTCTGGCATGTCAGTATTTGGGAGGTGAATGATGTTTATGATCTCAAGTAAGGGTAAAGGGAATGTTTTCTCAGTAGTCCTACTGCCTGCCCTTAGCATTCCATACCAGTAGCTCATGTCTTCCTATAGGTTCCACATAGTCATTGTGCTACCCAGATACAAGGCACAATGAATACAAGTTCAAAATTGGGTTAGCTTTTTCATCATATGTGATTTTTAAGGTTTCGATAGTAAGTTAAAGTTATGTCAGTAAAATCATGCCAAGTAAGACTAGATCTTAAAGGCAGGTTGTGAAGTATTACCAACTTCCTTGGTACAGTTCTTACCCCATTTAAAGAAGCACTTGCTTTGGAAATTTCAACTCGATTGGTGAAATCAGATTGTAGGTTCTGATACTGATTTATCAAGTTTGTAATAAGGGTACTGATCAAATTGGCACAGTTTGCTTCAGAAAACACTTGACCTTGAACCTGAAAAACAAGATTAAACAACAAAAAAAATTTCCTAAAGACCAACACAATGAAAACACCATCATTAACTTACTGAGTTTCCAAAGTACTACATACCTTTAGAAGAAAATGTGTCATGAATGTGTAGACAATGTTGTTGTTTAGAAAAGTTCTTTCATCCATTAGGATACATTTAATATATTCTGCGAAAACTGGATCTTCACACAAAAGCTTGATGCAGTTTTTTGACATAGCAGACTAGAGTGGGAAGAAGAAGCACTCATGGTTGAACACTGGAATAACTGGAAACCTGAAACGAATTTCCTAAGATAGCCAAAGTCAGTCCTGTAAGTCCTCTCTGACAAGTCACTTTTACTCAGTTATTGCTGCTGTCCTAATAAAGCATTAATGATGCTGAGAGGAAGAGACTTGTAAAAAGTCTGAATGGCTAAACTGCTAGCAAAGAAACACAACTTGATTATCTTACACAAAGAGGTAATAAGGACCGGACAAATAAGACTAACAGTTACATGAAAATGTCATCAAAGGACCAATTAATGAATAATCAATTAAAAGGCTATAAACGTTATGTGGAATAAAGTTTTCAGAATTAAGTACTTTTCCCCTCCATAAATATTGCAAACAAAACCTAGCAAATCTTTTTCTAATTATCTCATATAGAGAATTCGTGGTTCCTATTATAACAAGCATTTTACTAAAATTTGGTTTTCCTAGTTTCAAATGGTCATGGCTCTTAAACACAAGTAGTATGTCTTTAAGCAGATCTACTCCTTGGATTGTATCTGTGGTTTAATCACAGATCATTTATATGGCAAATGGGTACCTGTTGGATGATAGAATACATGTCTATGTGTTTTAGTAGAGTAAGAAACTGTGGTAAGTTAACTGCCTGACATCATCCGAGATACCAACTAAGCCCCAGGTCTTGAGGTCCTCAGGGTATGACTGTCTGCCTATTTTCTCAGTCTCAACCTCCTTGTCTGATTTTGGGGGACATTTTTGGGAATCAAGAATCCTGTGGAAAAAAACACCAAAACAAAGCAAAAGGAATAGAGAAGCATGTAGAAGCAGACACAAGATAGGCAAGGACAGCCATTCCCTGAGTTAGGAATAAGATCCCTTCCTGTGTCTAAGTCAATTTTGTAGGTAAGGAGAAAGCTGCATATAGTTCTTAAAGTTAACACTACAGAATAAGCACTGGACTACTAACCACAAGGTCAGCAGGTAAGGGGAGAAACATGAGTCTGTCTGCTCTGGTAATGTTTTAAAAGTCTTGAAAATCTTCCATAGGGTCGCATCGCTATGAGTTGAAAGTGACTCAGTTTTACAGTGGCTTCAGGATTAGTTTTACTACAAAAATAAAGCCCTCATCCACTTATTTATAAAAGCTGTATGTGCAGCAAGTGAATGTGATGAAGGATTTGTTGCGTGTAAGGGTTGGTTCAACTGTTTGAGAGAGTGAGGGCCATTTTAAACAATATTAAAGGGCAAGTACAAGTTGTCCGTTGGATGTTTGTAACCGGCAAAGGAAGAGCATAAACCCAAAAAATTAAATAACTAAATCAATACAAAGAAAAAGAATAGCGGTGGGGGTGGGGTAACAGAACTGTTCCAATTTACTGAATAGACTACTCAGCTCAATTAACCAATAAGTGATTTTCTGAATGCCTACTACTAAGCCATGTGAGCTAAGAGGAACACATACTGGACTTTCAGAGATCTCTGCTAGAGACAAAAGAGCATTTCTTTAAAGAATGTTGTTACGTGACGTTGAGTCCATTCCAACTCACAAAGTGACTGGTGCTCAATGAAACGAAACCCGGCCCAGTCCTACATCATTCTCATGATTATGTTTGAGCCCATTGTTGTAGCCACTGTGACAATCTGTCTCA